CGGGAGGGGTAGGAGGATGGGAAGGGGAGGAGGAGGATGATGGGGAAGAGGATGAGGAGAAGGAGGAGTGTGGGGGAGGAGGAGGAGTAGGTGGGGGAGGAAGAGTTGAGTGTGTAGTAGATGCTGCGCATGCCAAGACTCATTATAAACCAATGCACCAGCAAGTCACCGTGGCTGCTTTCACTCTGATACGAAGCACACATTGGATATCGCCGGTAATTACCCTCTAATTTTCGCGTTGGTGTTGTTGCCCACCTTAGACTTCTAGGTGCTACGGGAAGTATTCACTTTCATGAATCAAACGCATCTGGTGGTTTATGGGCACGGTCCTTCTGTACCATTCCATGCTCCTCTCCTGTCCTCGGCAGATAGTCACTGCAATAACCACCTCGAGAAGCGAACTAATCCAGGTCAGCTGATGCAGCGTGTGTGCTCCGTCAGTACGATGTAGTTATGTAGCCGCACCTGATGGACACAATACTGTTGACTTGTTGTGTTGTGTTGTTGAGTTGTTGTGAATTGATGGCGCGGTGTTGCTGTGCGTTGCAGTGTGTGTTCTGTTGGTGGCCGTGTTTCTTAGTTGCTGGGCCTACCTTCTTCGGCCCAAATGCAGGTGCTCATTCTTGACTTTCGGCCTGTCGTCTCCTTCAAACTTTCGAGTTGGAAGTTTCAGGGTTAGGATTTAGGGCTGCGGTTGAGGGTTAGGGTTGGGGTTGGGATTTTTAGATAGGGGTTATTGTTAGGGGTTGGGATAACTATTTCTTAAACGCTCAAATTACAACCGCGCATTCCGATCACTTTTCTTGTCGTACAATTACTTGACCTCGTTGCCTGTGTGTTCTCGGCCCAATCTGTAAATAACTTTACTACCATCTGTCCCGTATTACAGGTGACTGAGATCTGTTTACCTCAGTTCGCCAAATACTCTGCGTATTATCCTCGTAGTTGACGCTGCAAGCACTTTGACCTTGAAATACTGCGTTGTAATGCTTAAATGGTCTGCTACGAATGCCCCACGGACGTTTTGCCAATTTCCTATTTTATGCGATTGATTATAAGAGAGATACTCCCATGAATGTATATTATTCATTCGCCTCACTGGCACCACCACACTGAAGTGTCGACATTGAATTTCGTTCATCAGAGCTCACTCCATGCCTGCAGCCATTCTATATCCTGTTTCTTTATCTGGGAGCTAATGGCAATTCTCTCATAAATAACAGCATCTGGATGTCTCTGGTCCAGTGCTTTTGACCAACGTTCGAGTGATGTGAAGAGGTTTGTAAGTCAGGACCTCTTCTCGTAGAAATCAGGCTAATCTAATCAGGGGATGAGTGTCGTTACATTCATTCACTGTGCTTGAGCTGCGTAGGCAATGCGATGTCCAGATGATCACGGTGATGTAATTTAGAATTCAACCGACCTCCCGTGGATCCTAACAATGAAATTGGCCGCAAACTGCAGTCCAGCCTAAAGCAAGTAATCGGTTCGAATTCGGAAGGCCAGTCAGATATCACACATTGTCTCAAATGTGATGGTGGGAACCTGCGTGAAATGCAGTTCACGGGTGTTATTCAAATGCCACTTCCATTGTGAACGACGTTGCCGGTATCTAAATCGACATTTAGGTAGGCATGGTGCATGCGTGTGATAGATTATTCATCGGAAGAAATTTGTCCTACGAACTTTGAATGCTTACGCTAAAATGTCCAATTTGGGAGTCAACTATGTCCACCCTCCGGAATTACAGAATTCCCATTCTCAGATCGCATCGTGATGTCCGTGTACTTTAGCAAGATCCTTTCTAAAATATCATTATTAAATTTTGGATAAGAAAGTAAGTATCCACGTACAGCAGCCTGCATTGCATATCAGTTAAATGCCTGCGAATCAACTCAGATGTGATCAAAGATTTATTTGCTATCTAAGTGTGGTGTGCAGATATTTCTGGATGTAAGACAGGCCTCTGGCCGCCTTAATGGTCATACGACCTCCAGGTGTTACAATTTCTGGAGGGTGGAGTGCTGGCAGAGGACGGAATGCGGAAGTTGTAACCAACTTTCATCTGCCTTAAATTTGGAACGAAACCCAAGGAAGTATATCGCACCACGAAACGATGTGATCTCATTAGTTGCCTGGATTTTTATTCCATGTACAATGAAGTATGGGTCCAGCTGTTATATCAGGTTGCTCGATTTTGAAAGAAATCTTAGCATGTAGGGGATCGGCATTGTTAACGAGAGAGTGGCCTAGTCCAAATATAGAAGGTTGAGAGTCGTCCGATGAGAAGACGGATCCATTGGAGCATACGTAAGAGGATGGAACAGAGGGGTCATGACATTTTTGAGCATAATGTGTGCGTGTATGTGTGTATGCCCCTAAATGGTGTCACGTGGTGGATGCACTGGACCAGCACCGGGGGCAGATATGAAATTGGCATGCTGTGTTTTGGAAGGTTGACAACCTACAGGGCAAATCATAACACCCAATCGCCCCAGTGTGTGTGTGTGTGTGTTTGTGGGAAGTGGCGGACTTAGAGTCAAGCTGTAGTGCCTATCCCCTAGTGTTGGATTTATGGCAATGCCATCTTATGGAATCAGAGCCGGGTGGGACGGCATGCCAAGGGACGGGTGTACGACGTGTTAGCCACATGCGCGCGCTCTCTCTCTCTCTTTTTGCCTCCGCGTTCCTTGAACTGGTCGTGACACAGGGCTAAGGTGACGGAGGAGAAGGATGGTCGAGTGCGGTAGATGCTGCACAAGACTTCTGAATCTATAAAGACAATTGTGCACAAGTCAGCGTGCCTACTGATGACTAAGAGTCATCCGATGAGAAGACAGATTCATTTTAGAGTAAGTAAGAGAATGGAACAGAGAAGTCACGACATTTTGGACCATAATCTGTTTGCATGTGCCCCTAAAAGCTGTCACTCGGTAGATGCACCGAACTAGCACCGGGGTCAGATATGAAATCGGCCGGCTGTGGCTTGGAGGGTTGCTAAATGACGGGATAAATTTTCTAAAGGCAATTTGGCGAGCATACGTCTGCTTTCGATATATTCTCTTCAGGCCTCTACATTTTTATGGCTATTGAAGTAGTGAATTGAAAGATATGGGCAAGTAGATAATTAAACTGTAGCTCGGGTTGGTAGAGGGGAGGGGAGGGGAGAGTGAAACACCACAATTCCAGTCAGCGCCCGGGAGTAGGTGGGTCCCGGCGAAGGTAATCACATGCGGGTGGTTGGTTTGGTGGCTTTGAACCATGGTAACTGTGGGACTTGTACAAAGTTCTTCTGTGCGCATCGGGATAAATTTTACCTCCCAATCGATCCAGTGTGTGGTTGTGGGGAGTGGCGTACTTAGAATCAAGCTGCAGTGTCTATCACCTAATGTGGCATTTATGACAGTCGCACTCAGTGGGATCCGAGCGGGGTGTGGCGACATGCCTAGAGGCGGGTTTACGACGTGCTAGCCACCATCGTCCTCCCTCTCCTCTAGTTTTCTCGACTGGGTCATGAAACGGGACCAAGGTGAGGAGGAGTAGGAGGAGGACGAGGACGAGGATGAGGACGAGGAGCAAGTGCGGTAGATGCGTTGTAACTGTAAAAGAAATCAGGTATAATTAACCACTCCTGCTCTCGCCCTGCTGTGGACCACGTGGTGGACGTCGTCGGTCACGACGTTAGAAATTATTTGTGTGTTTGTCCCTTAAACGAGCCCAACGGTTGGTGCGTCGGACCAACACATGACCATATCGGACCATGGCGGCAGGTCCATTTGCGGACCTACATCACGTCCCCTGAGGTTCTTGTCGCTCCCACCACCGCTGGCCGTACGGATAATCGCCTGGTCATCTTCAGGACGAGGCTCCTCCTGCAACCCACAGTGGGCCACAAGGTAATTGACCCCCCACATAGACTTTACAGCATTTGTTTTTCTTTGCCTGGTCACACTTGCATTTCGACACTCGGCATGCTGCTGGTCTGGTGGCTGGAAGACCTGCCCATTTCTGCCCTTCCGTACCTTCTCTCCGCTTTTCCCCTCCGCACTTCCTTCTCCCTCTCTCGACTCTCTAGTCTGTTTTACTCTCTTACTCTTCGACCGAAATCCCTACGGCAAGGGCAAAATACAATCACGTAGACAGATCAGGCCAGTGGTCGTTCCCTCACTAAACACAGTGACCAATGGTTGACAGTGGTACCCGTCTGGTAAGACAAAGCTGCCCTGTAAAGTGAGAGCACTGCTTTCTTCCAGGAGGGCAAGAAGGGCTAGAAAAAGGTGCACTAAACAAATGCTGACTTCACGACATCTACGCGCAGATCGTAGATCGCAGACGGCTAAACATGCGGTCCAAACCAAAAACAAAAGACGCAATACTCTCTCTCTCTCTTCCTTCTCCTCCTTCTCCTCCTCTTCCTCCTCTTCTCCGTCCCCCCCTACAGGCTGCTGGATGAGTCCGTTAATACTGACAGCCTGGAATATTCGTTTCTTTTTTAGATAATCCTTGGTGCAAGCTGCCAGAACATGGCGCGTCACAAGATGGATATCGCTGCAGTCAGTGAGAGTCGTTTCTTCGATCAAGTCCTACTGGAGGTGGCTGCCGGCTATACCTTCTTCTGGAGCGGCCGCCCAAAGACCGAACGACGAGACGCGGGCATCGCCTTTCCTATTCGGAACAAAATCGTGCGACAGCTGCCCTGTCTGTAGAAGGACATCGAGGAACGCCTGGTGAGCCCCCGCCTGACTCTGCGGGTTTGAAAATTTCGTCACCATCATCAACGCCTCAAGCCCAGCAAGGACGGGCTCAGACGTTGCGATGTCCAATTTCTACGTAAACCGATGCACAATCCTGGCATCTGTGCCGAAGACGGATAAGTTGACTGTCTTTCGTGACTTCAGTGTCCGCGTCTGGACAGACTGTGCTACCTGAAGGGGAGTGCTGAATCCCCATGGAGTCGGCGGGTGCAACTACAATGGCCTCCTATTCCTGCAAACCTGCACTTAATACGGCCTCCTACTGGCCAACACACTTTTTTCGCCTTCCGATGCGGAAGAAGGCCGCCCGGATGCACCCCTGGTCGCTGCACTGGCATCTACTGGTCTATCTTCTTGTCTGGCAGCGAGATCGGCAGGACGTGATGGTGACCAAGACGATCTGCGACACCGATGTTTGGATGGACCACCGCCTCATCTTCTTTAATATGAGGCTCCATCTGAAACTTCGCAGGGGGCCACAATTAAGCAACCGCCAGCAAAGCTGAATACCCCTTTGTTGTCCTTTCCTGGCCATCGTTTGCATTTCAATAATCAAATAATCCTGCGGCTGGAAGATCTATCAATTCCAGACGAAAAGGTCCCTGTGAAGAATGGATGATGCCAATTGTGTGACATCGTCCATTTGACTGCCCTGGGTGTCCCCAGCCGCGTACGTCGCCAGCATCCGGACTAGTTTGACGGCAGTGATGCAGTCCTCAACAATCTGCTCTCTGAGAACACGCCACAAAGAGCCTACCTCGACCGTCCAATCGACGCGAGCAAAGCGGCCTTCTGCCAGTGTCGCCTCTTTGCGCAGCAACGGTTGTGAGAACTGCGAAACGTCTGGATGACTCTGGAGACCGAGGAGATCCAGGCATACGCCGACAGCAGCGACTCAAAGAACTTCTTTCCCATGATTAAGACGAGCTACGGCCCCCGACCAATGGAACTGCGCCTCTTCTTAGCTCCAATGGATCAACGCTTTTGACGGAGAGGTCACAGATTCTGAAACGCTGGGTTGAACATTTCAGAAGCGATCTCAACCTTTCCTTCGCCATCAACCGGCTCCTCCTTTGGAGACTAACATCGACTTGGATCTTCCTCCCTCATTTCCAGAAACTATTCGTGCCGTGCAAGCAGTCTCCAACGAAAAAGCATCAGGCTCCGACGAAATCCCTGCTGAAATCTACAAGCACGGCGGAAACCGTCTGATGGACCAACTCACGACGGTGTTTTAGTAGATTTGGCGGTAAGATCGCAGTTGGTAGCCAGAAATTATAAGTTGATACTGTCGACGGACATACTTGTTACCAGTAGGTGTGCTTACCTTGTCTGAGAAACTGGTCATCAGCAGGTGTGCTTCTACTGCATTAGGTGAATCGCCCGTTTCAGTCAGGCTGTTGGGTTTAGTTAGGGTTAGGGTTCAGCGTTTCAATGTTAGGGTTAGTGTTTAGGTTTACGATTACGGTTTGGCTTCAAGGTCCGGTTTCAGTGTTAGAGTGGGGTTTAGGTTCACGATTATGGTTTGGCTTTAGGGTTGGGGTTTGGATTTAGGGTTAGCATAATGGTTTTCTGGGTTAGAGTTAGGACATTTGGTTTCCGCTTTACGTTTGAGGTTAGGATTAGGGTTTCGGTTAATGGTTTCCGATTTTCGGGTTAAGGTTAGGACTTCAGGTTTAGGTTTCCGGGTTACGGTTATGGTTTGAGTTTACGATTAGGTTTCAGTATTACGGTTAGGTTTTAGAGTTACGGTTACGGGCTACAGTTAGGTTTAAGATTTCGGTTAGGGTTAAGTTTGCCGTTAGTGTTACCGTTAAGGTAAGACAGGGGTCTCGCCGTCCGCTTCCATATTCCTGGCTACCAACTGCGATCTAACCGATTTGGCGATATAGACAAGATTCTCGGGGTTTACAACACGCAGCCATTGTTTACCTCTGCAAACGCAAAGGGAACCAACAAGCCTATGGCAATCACAGACGCATCTCACTACTCAAAATTGCCGGGAATATCTTCGGCCGCATCCACCTCAATCGTCTCAGCAGACACCTCGCGTAAGGACTCCTGTCGGAAAGCCAATGCGGTTTTCGACGACACCGGTTCACCGTCGACATGGCGTTTGCCGCTTACCGGCTGTCCTGAACGATCCACGCTCATGGTGCGACGACTGCACGCATCACGGACAACGGCGCAATTTCCGTGGGATTCGCAGTGACCAACGGAGTGGGACATGGCCGCGTCCTCGCGCCTACCCGCTTCAGTCTCATGTTCACTGCCATGCTGATGGACACCTTTCGTAATGAGCACTCCGGGATACACCGCTCACAGAATTGACAGGCATCATCTCAACAGTAGGCGCATGCAGGTCCGAACGCGGCAATCTACGACCGCGTTTTACAATCTGCTCTTCGCTAACGACTGAGCACTTAACATCACGATCGAAATGGACGCGCAACGGAGCGTGGACCTCCTCGCCGCCGGGTATGCCAACTTCGACCTGAAAATCAACAAGGACAAAACCGTGGTCATGTACTTACCGTCACCCAACATGTAACACTGGATTCATCCACGTATCACTGTCAACGGCCACCAACTTAGAATCGTGGACAGTTTGGCCCATCTCGGAAGCACACTTTCCAGCAGCGCAAAAATCGACGAGGGGATGGTTCACCGAATCTCCAAAACCAGTCAAGCATTCAACTTGCTTCAGAACTCCGTGTGGAATCGCCATGGCCTTCAACTGAACAATAAACAGAGGATACACAAGGCCGTCGCTCTGAAGACCCTTTTCTATGAAGCGGAGACTCCAAACATGCCAATTAACTCAACCATTCCCATCTCATCTGCCTACGTCGAATACTAAAGCGAAGATGGAAAGACAGGATCCCCGGCACGGAATTCCAACGCAAGTGGGCCACAGGCGTGGACCAGGCCCGGCCGTAACAGCCACGTGCACCCTCTCTCCCCTCCGGTCTTCTCTACGTAGTCTTGAAACCAAGCTCAGGTGGGGGAGGAGGAGGAGGAGGAGGAGGAGGAGGAGGAGGTTGATGTCGCGCCGTTGACGACGGCCTAATTTTCCTGTGGACATTGTTGCTCATATAAGATATCCAGGTGGTATATTTCATGTGTACTTCCATGTACCACACACAACTGGTGATTTATTGACACGGCCCTTCAGTGTAATCCAACTCTCCTTTGCTGATTTCGGTTGATGGGCTCTGACTTGAGACCACACTGCAATATCCACCTCGAGAAGCGGTCTAACCCAGATGAGGTTATGCAGCTTGTGTGCTCACATTCCCGTTAAGCCGATTCCGCCTCACATTCTCCCCCTTCTCGCCATGCAGAAACTCCTACGGAGAGGCAACATGCAATCCGAAAGGCGGCTCAACACGCTAAACAGACTCGGATCACGTTGGCAGCCTGGAATTGTCCTTCACCTCTGGACAACCGCTGAGCCAACGACCGGACACGAGCATAACATCGACCGATCGACAAATGCCGCGCGAGGATCCGCCACTTAATTTAATGTAGTTGGTGAACGAATCGAAACTCTGGTCTCCCTATTCGGATGATACGTTCGTCATTACCGAACGGATTAAGGTAGTGACATCTAGCGAACAGCTCAACGCCTTCTTCCCGGGTATGAATTTTATGATGGAGGAGGAAGAGAACAACCGGCTAGCACTCCTTGATAGTCTCATATGCCGCAAACTTTGTGGTGTTCAGGAAATCGACGAATAGGACACAAGCACTGGACTTCAATAGGAATCACCCAATCAGTCGCATACACGGTTGCTTATGGGCATGTAGAGGGCATTGTTTTCGCGGCTTTTCTCCATTTGGGAGTGGATTTGCACAGAGACCAGAGACAATTATCAGACACCAATTACGGAGACCGAAGGACATACTTATACGACAGGGAATGACCGGAGTCGTTTGTTAATCTGGTGCACCTGTTTACAAAACAACTGCATCAGAACAACAAGACCACTAACTACGCGAATGGTCGAAAAGTGAATGTAGAGATGCCGGATACATTTACGGAGCAAAAATCCAACCGATTTGTCCTAAAGTATTTTACTATGTCATTAAATACGCAGAAGGACTGCTTAATGAAAGCAAGGGAGGTTAGCATATTGGGTTGCGAAAGCAAGACCGCCAATCAGCATTAAGATCCGAACGTCATTGTCGGCATCTCGTTCTCCATCACCACCAGAAGCGCCGTTACCACCTTGGCTATTGCCGACGTGAGTTCGGCTAGCGCCATTCAAGAGATGGGTAAAATACAATTACTCATCCATTGCGATACGGGACACTCACGTCGCGCTTGCTGCCTTGGAACTCAATTTCAAACGCGGTGGGTAGCCGCACAGCGATCGTTGTCATATTAAAGCAGACTTGCACTGTCCACGAATATAAGGGAGACTGGAATGCCCACTAGCAATTATCAGCCAGTCATACATAACCCAAGTGTAGGGGATAAGTCTCCGTCTGCTAAGTTCTCCGCATGTTTAGAAACGGAGAACTGCATTTGCCATGTCGCTCAGGGAATTACTGGTCGTCGTGATGTCCGAAATTCATCTTTTGATATAGTATTTGTCATAGCCACCTTACACGGGACCACATCTTTCCCTCACTCATCCTAATTTGTGAGAACGCTTCATTAGAGATTTAATATTTCCGGATAGGCAAATGCCCGTCTTCATTATGTGTCATCGGCACAGTCGCAGTGGCAGTCTTCTAAAGTAATCTGCCTCCTCCATTTCTACTATCAGTTTTCCCCCTGATGTTGTCAATGGTACCTCTGTCAACAATTTCTACGTGGACCTGCACTTACTCCTCGCGAATGTGTCGATGTCAGAGCATCATCATCATCATCATCATCATCATCATCATCATCATCATCATCATCATCATCATCATCATCATCATCATCAGCAGCAGCAGCAGCAGCAGCATCGGCAGCAGCAGCAGCAGAAGCAACAACAACAACAACAACAACAATATCTACGGCCTTTTTCTCCTACAGAATCTATACGGAACACAAGCCCCTTCTGGCCAATAAGTTCGTTTCGTTTTCCGATGCGGGAGAGGGAGATGGAGAGCGAATGCGCCATGGATTTACGCTCGCTTGCCACGTTACGCTTTTTGGACAACGCCGGTGTATAGAGGTGGGACCGTTAGGAAGTGCAGGCGACAGAGACTATCAGCGAGAGCGTCAGCATCAGCTCGATTGACCACCACTTTGACATATCCAAAATGAGGCTGGGAATCCAAGTCCGTGTTCAGCAAGCAGGTAAGTTGGATTCTGTTCTCCGGAATGGGGTTAACCGCCGCATGCAGTCCAGCAATTAACCGACTCACCGATTAGAAGAAATTGCAGGCACTATGAAGAAATGGCCACTGTAAAGACGCAATAGCGCCGTCGGCGTGTCCTTCCTCAATAAACTGCCCCGTACGTTCTTGGTCGCACATGCCGACAACTTCAGGGCTGGATTGACGACGACGACGACGAATATGTGTTCCATCTGCTCTCCGGAGGAGTCGCCTGCACCTAGCGGCCTTTTTTATTTATTGACACGTCGGGCAACAACTACTTCGGGAGATACAAATTGTTTGGACAAATCGCAAGCCTGAAGTGGCACACACAAAGATACGAGTTCCGCAACGGACTGGGGTATATCCTTGTCTCACTCGTAGTGATCTGCGTCAGCCATCCCAAATAATGCACTGTTTCACTCAGATCTGACGAAACAATACCCAATTCAGTTCGGATCAGTTTATTTTGGGAAACGTAGGTGTTGAACTCTGGACTCCCTATTTGTTACAAGGAAGGGAATTATATAGAAAATTTGGAAACGGAAACATCAAACGGCTACTGGAATTCATCGAAGCCGGCACACAAACGAATTATTCTAAGTGTCAAAAATGTCTGCACTACTAAATAAACTGTCAGTCTAAGCATAATTGCGCTTAGAAAAATTTGTACGAGCTTAGTTATCTGAGGAAGACGAATTGAGTGCCGGCATTCGCATTTTAATATACCTGGGACAATAAGTAAGTGAAAACCGGACGCTACTGAAATATGGACGGTAATATCATAACAATAATAAACTGTTAGAGCGCGGAGCGCTAGGACGATATTGGACGGGTCACGTTAGGATGTGCAGAAGTACACTGATCCAATTTGCGCTTAGATGACTCGACTGCTGTGTACATGAGGATATCTCAAAGCAGAACATTCAAAGCCCCAGTCATTCTGTTGGAAAAGAACTTCCGTGCGTCCAGCGTGGCGCTAGTCACACGAATTTCGAGTGGATGACCTCGGGGGTTTGTTATGATTCCTAATTCAAAGGAAGACTGCAGGTAAAAGACAACAGTCCCGAGCGCGCATGATATACGGAATGTTTGTATCAAGTCGCCTCGTAAGCTGTCTTTAACTCAAAGGCGAGAGGTAGATATTGTATAACCGCGTTTGGTAAGGCAGTGAGCCTTGCGCACTAACAGGTTTGGTTGCACGCCTTTGGACCTTCTCAAGGATGCTGAGGTCCTTAGCGGCCCAGGATTTCTACGCTTGAATAGCGAACACTAACTGTGACCGTAAAAACTTCTGAAAGACTTTAACGAAACAGTCGGCATCGAATGTAGAGAAAGCTCGCTTGACAAGGTAAAAGAATGATATCGCGAACTTCGTCACCTTGGAGCAGTGGAACGACGGTTTAATTTAATTCGTGACTCACACACCCAAGTCCTTAGGGGCGTCTACCTACTGAAATGGTACGCCATTTAGGTGGTAAAACCCTACTGCTCGGAGATCGGGTTTATCGACTCGCAGAATGTTGTACTTAGTCCTTCTCCCTGATAGAAGTTGACTCCATCTTGTCGAGGAAGGAGATAACTAGAGAATTTTGTCGTTAGTGGCGTTGCTCAGTTTCCTTGAATCTCACGTCTATGCATAGTAGAATAAACAGTCGAAACAGTCTACGCGCAACAACATGCCCTGTATACAAACACCCATTCCGACTTCAACAGCAACCTATAATAAACCAAAGCAAATACCTAACTCAAAGACGAGTTCGAGTGTAATTTCAGCCACTCGTACAATAAGTAGATCCAGATTTTCCAAGAAGTCGTTCCTTCGAAAATCGTCTGCCACTCATTTCAAACCCATGGCTTCAAACATAGCGTGTTTTCCGCCACCCCCAGACTCCATATGCAAGCGGTTAGGCCGCATATGTTGACATTCCCGCCTTCGAATAGAATTCCCGCCACAATCGTAGCAGTGCGTCCCCCACTCCCCAGCATGTTCCCCATGATCATTTTCTCAGCGGAATTCTCATGCAAATGTTCATATGGGGACGGTTAACTCACCCGATCCTCAGTTCCATTTCGGTGGAAATAAGTTACAGTATCCTGCCTGTTGACTTCTAGTAGAAAATCAGCCAGTTTCTCGGCCCATCATTTCCTTCCCCAAATTCGACTCCTCTTTATCGACATTAGGGCAAATTGTGATATCGTGTTCGATCTTCTAAAGAACGACCTACGGGCCTTTGCCCAATCGTGCTGCACAATGTGCCTTTCTCCTTCTTGACACAAATGCTTAGCCATGGTGGTTGGCGACGACCACCAACCTCAAATAAGTATTGACGGCCATGACATAAATGTGCCTGAGGTAATTAAGGATCTGGTTGTATCATACTCTAGAGTCTAAATCACTGCACCCTGATAGTTTCCAAAGCACACAGAACGATGGGGTTTATACTCGGAACTTCTAAATTATGCGATGTTTGAATGCGTCTTTATAAAATGTGCGTCAGACCTGGCCTGAATTACCGTTCGTTTTTATTTAACCTTATGCGCGCTGGCGAGCGGAAAAAAAGTTAATCCGTCCAACATTATTTTACAAAGAGAGTTTTAACCCGGAACATCGGAATTTTTCATGCCAAAAACGTTGCGGGCTTACAGGCCTTGACCCCTTGTGGTTTCGTCTACTTCAAAAAGGATTATTTCTTCTGTTAAAGCTTTTAGACAATCGTACTTTTAACCCGGAATAATAGTCACAGTGATGTATTTTTACTTCTCCCTCTGTCACGTCGCGTTAAATGCAGTCGTCTCTTTTTAGTGAACGCACTTGCAGTTTGGAACAAATTACCATGGAAAGCAAAAATTCTGCAAAATTATTTTTCGCTAAAGAGAACCACTACTAGTTTTTTGGACACAAAAGATCTCTCACATATTTTGGATGATGGATCCACAGATCTAATCTACCGTAACAATGGGGTTCGTGGTCTCTGATTCCATGGCCGGTCTCACAACTGACAATTTCTTCAGCCGCTAACAAACGACGGTTCTTAAATGCCTCTGTCTTGTCCAGTCCCAATTTTAACGAGAAGGAATGGAGACTGAAAATATCTGGAATAACGCTACTTCATGAACAGCTGTTTTTCCGCATGAACCATCCTAACTACGAAAATTCCATCCTCCGTAGCTATTCATTAAGAGTTTTTCTTCTATGTTTGCTTGATCCATACTTTATCTTTCTTTGACAATGCCTGCAAGCTGGCATTAAATACAATTACTACTACGCCTCTTAATTTCCTCAGAAATTATTTACAAGGTTGCAGTAGATCAGTTTATTCAAGGCCTATAGGCTCAGACCGAGAATTTTATGCATGAATATTTGGGCCAAATTCCATCAGCTACAGCGGGTAACCGCGTATTGTTCATTAACTGCCGACAGGCAGCTAGTAGTATACCTTAGGTTAAGGTGATACCATACTAATAGCACAGGCATTAGCCAAAAACCCATGCGCGCGTGGTTCGACGATATTCTGCCGCTGCATAGCGCAGCTGCGTGAGGTCTGGCTTGTCAGTGGGTCCCCCAGCGCGGTTATGCGCTGTGTCTGATGGACTTTGGCCCAGATATTCATGCATACAATTCTCGGTCTGCACGTTAATACCCTGAATAAACTGATATACTCCAAGTTTGTAGATGATTTCTGAGGAAATTAAAAAGCGGCAGTTTCTAAATTGGAGTATCTACGAAAAAAACAAACGGTAAATGCAGGGGGCCCCGCGGACGAACCAGTACCCTCGCAGCTGAGCCATGCAACAGCCGAATATCGGCGAAACACGTATGTATGTGTTTTTGGCTAGTTCTAGTGGTGGTAGTGTATTATCATCTTAACCTAAAACTAGTATTATTGTTATTATCATTATTATTCATATTAAACGGCAAAGAGGAGTCCGTCGACCATTTTTCGAGTCGGTTCAGGTTTGCCTGCAGGCGCTCTTCGCCCACTTGAGTTCGGACGGCGCTTCAAACCATAACATCATCAGCGAACATGGCAACATCATAATTCAGTTCACTGGCGCATTCGTTGACGCATGTAATGAATATCGTAGGGCCTTGGACGGGGCCTTGGTGAACACAGCTTTCAGCCGCTACCTCCGCTTACTGCTTATCATCGATGTGGACATTTTGAGAACGACCGATCACGAAGGTTTGAATCAACCTCAGGTGATTACCCCTACTGTCTGTTCGGCTTATTTTGTAAAGGAAACTCTGATGTGGTACACTATCGAATACTTTTTTTAAAGTCGACATAGACTGCGTGCACTGCATTCCCGCCATCAAATGCTCAGGTCCAACGTTCTTAATAATATACCAGGTCTGTCAAGCATCACTTGCCTCTAAGGAATCCATGCCGGGCGTTGCATTGCAGAACACGATGCTCTACGAAGCGCATTATTTCCCGTTTAATTATGTTTTCCATAATTTTGCAGTAGATTGACGTGAGGCTGATTGGTCAGTTGTCGTTTGCCGAAACCTTGCTACTGTCCGTATGCAGTGAAGTAAATCATGCGGATTTCCAGGCGGCGGGCAAATATCCTACATTGATGGAGGATTGGAAGAACATGGACGGCGGTTTAGACACTTTTCCAGCAAGCTCCTTCAACAATTTGGACAGCATGTCATCCGGCTCAGGTGATTTTGACTCATTCCGCGTCACCAGCTCTTTGCAAAGAATGGTTTCGGCCAAAAGGCGGTTTTACTCGCAGGGCCTTCCACAAAGTCGCAATCGGAAGGAATAAGTGCGTTTTCCTTCGTAAAGATAGACTTAGAAAATTACGAAAGGTGCCCTGCCTTTTCTGTATGTTCACTAATCTCTAATTATTCACTAGCCTGCATTAAAGGTATTTGACCTGTGTTTCGTGCGCTCCTTCTTATGTAACCATGGAATAACTTCGGAGTTCCTGCGGCCCTATTCAATAGGTCTTGCTCGAAGGCGTGCCGTGACCTGAGGAATAGCCGCTTAACCCGGTTCCTCTGTGCCTTGTATGCATTTGTCGACACGGGGTTCCTATCCGAGAGGAATTTCCTCTGTATCCTCCGCTTTTCATTCGTTTCTTTTTAAAAGCTTGTGTTAGACTGGAGAGTCTGCTGTCCAGTTTCTTCCATGAAATTGGACAATGTTTTCTGAGAAGCAGTAACTATGGCAGACGGACCCTATGAATAGGTCAGATTAAGGCGGCTGCCTCGATACAATAATTTTGGTATGTACAGCAGTCTCACAGCAAATGTGCTCCACCAATGTCCGAGTACACAGTCGCAAAAAAAATTTCGTTCCGTGTCTCGGCGACTTTTTCCTAGAAATTACTCCGCTGAATCGTCGTATGAAACAAATTCCTTCACAGCGTAGAGCGATTATCATGCAGACTTTAAGTTCCCGTCATTTTTATGAAACCCTCGAAGTACAGGACGAGCTGAAGAACTCCAAGTTTCCTGTAGGTCTGGATGAGCTTCCTCGAATTTGTCTTTGTTATAAAAAGAGGGATTAAGTTCAGTCAGCCTGGTTCCGTAGGACGGTGCGCAAGACCTTCTCCCATCCCCTTGGTCCCTACGTTAAGTCACTCAGGCAAATAATATTCCTTCCTAAGCCGAGGAAGCCAGTCTCATGCAGAAAACTGCATGTGGTACTGAATAAAGCTCCATCAGTCTTACCAAACTGTTCCTGATCAGTTTGTGTAAACGTTCATCCCATCGCAAATAACTCCAACGCTTCGCTTAGGTATCCGTAAACATTTTGGGATACTTTTCGCTCTCCACATCAATCTTTCTGCTGCAAAATAGACTTATTTACCAGTTTGCCCGGACACCTAACCTGAAATCATCCTTTACTTAAGTCGTTGGTTTACGGTTGCGTCGCCGTCTACTTCGGCGTTTTGGTTTTAACCGCTCGTGGGTTGGACATGCCTGACATTTCGGGGAGTGAGATTTCAAGTCTCCAAGATGCAGGGAAGACCGAAAATGGCGCAGTTTCTTTGCAGAAAATTCAACAAGAAGAAGCCACTACTTTTCTGCAGCCTTCGTTCGCTCCGAAGATGATGTCTTTGTCAAAATTTTTGGAACCCTTTGACAAATCCATTCTCAGCGATAATGATGCCGGCGAGAAATATAGTTCATATGTTGCCAGTTTTATCAAAGAACAGTTGTCCGATCAATTCGAGAGACATAAAAAAAGTGCATGGTACGTTGTGTTGCCAATCCGCCCTCCATTTATTGCAATTGTCGGCTGTAACCGAGGCCCTGTACCAACATTCTACATACATATATATGTATATATATGTTTGTGTATATATAAGAAAGGAGACGACATAGTCTGCGTGGTGGATTGATGCACAACTGTTTCGGCTTGTTTGCCGTCTTTTGGCCAATCATAACCCTGACTACCACCTGGCGTAACCTGTCCACCACTTGGATCCTCCAGATGGGTCATAAGCAATTCACCGAATGGAACCGGTTCTGTATCAATCTACTCCGCAGACTTTGCCATCTCCCGTCTGCCGACTTCGGCCCGGTAGGCGATTGCCTGTTCACGATCCCTTTCACCCATACGAAGCTTGTTTGCTTCGGGAAGGCAAGGGATTGGCATGCGTCCATTCCTGAGTTAATTCATATGTTTATGTATATGACATGAGTTTATAGAGGTGTTAGAACTATGACCTTTTCTTCGATGTCTTTACATCGCCTTGTATGCCTTTTTAACACGACACCAAAAGTGCTTATCCACACCTTGAGAATGAGATGGAAATGTTGGCTGTCTTCCCACCGTTTGCAAGGACGTCTTTTTGTGTGAACAGAGTAAACAGAAACTTGTACAGTATAGGAGGGGGGCATTTTAACTCCTTTCCTTCGATTTAACCGTCAGCTTACTGCTGGTTGGCATTTACTAGCTTTCACAACCTACCCTGTGACAATTATCTGTGATATTAGTAGCCCTCGTCGCTAAAAACGTTTACCGACTAATTCTTTGCTCGAAAATTATATTGCGTGCCTGGTTTTCTTGCCGGGTGTCTTTATTTCATTTGTAGGTTTCGCGATAAATATCATCCTGATCACATGAGATCGGCTGAAGATAGATCAAACGCAATTGGGAATCGATTTCAAATATTTAACGACATGCTGCAACATGGCTTCTTTGATGATGTAAATCTGGAGTTCAGAAACAGAGCCAAAATAACAAAAATTCTTGATCAGTGTGAGTTCCCTTACTAATATTCTGAATTAAAAAGAGTCTTCATTCGGTCGCCAGTTATGCTATAATTTCGGCCTTATTTCGTCATTACTCAACTCCCTTTTTGGATCTAACTTTTTAAGTCAGACGCTTCGTCTTTGTTAGTGTTGTCTTTTCCTTTATGTCATACATTGTTGTATTCTTATTTTTTGCTACTTTCACTTAAGTTTTACTGTTTTATGAAGAATTCAAGGTTTTGATTTGTCTTAATATTTCCAGTCTGGTTCACTTCCGTAACTTGAACCGTTAGTTGTCATCCTCTATAATCCTTAAATTTAGTCAGAAAATAATTTTTGATCGGTCCAAACCTTTGAATTTCTTTTCAATAGTCGCCATTAAGCTTGCCGGTGGGTCTGAGGAACAGTTAGCCGAATTAGATGCGTTTGATTTCAAGTCGTTTCTGGCTGCCATGAAACGCCATGAAGAAATTGCCGAACCGAAAACCCCATGCCGCTCTCCACGCCACGAAAAGCCAGACAACCATAAAGTCGTTGAAACGCCCTCCTCTCCGCAGTTCCGCCCCTCTGCAAATGCGGATGTAAGTTACCTTTTGCATTAGTCTTCATCTCTGGCTATCTATTAGTTTGTTACGTGCCATTTTTGAAGAGTTTACATTAAACTGTGGTGACAGCAAGGTACTCCTCTTTACCAGCCATTTAGTCGAAAACGTTATAGGTAATAACGGCCGACTTTGCGGACCTACCGTTGTTGTTGGTGGTGGTAGCGGTTCCTTCCTCTGCGGTCCAAAGGTATCTTCATATATTGGCATTAAATCGCTAAAAACGACCGTCCATCCACTGTTTTAGGGCGTCAGTTTTGAAATTCGTTTTAGCCGTCAAATATCGAATCTTATGCATTATACACAATCGTCCTTGATATCTTCAACACATCTAGTTGATCCAACTGGAGTCAATTTTCCGTATTTTGTGAAATTGGTTTTGTTCTAGATTGGGCATATAAGATAGACAAGGTCACTTTCCTAATTTTTTTGACACATCTCGTCGAGCTAGCGTGGTCCGTCACAGGCAAATTGTCAGGAAAATTGCCTTTGTTGGCTAGTCCACATATTCTATTTGCTCTACAGTCGTTAAAATCGCCTCATCCTTTGCTACCTTGTTTCCTTTGACGCCATTATGCTGAAGTGATTCAGAATCACGACAAGCTGAAGACCAGCCATGTGGAATTTGCTCCTATTTGTTGGTGAGACATAGCCTTAGACGCCCCTATGTCATTTTGTCAGCTTTCCCCTTCTGTCCTTAGTTTCTTTTCCCACTTTTCTAGTTTCTCCGAGCACGCTGATGTGAGTGTATAATTTGGTTTCAGGGAAGCTGTTTGTCTTGTTTCAGCATGCCTGATCCAAGTCGAGAATGTTGACAGGGGTTCGTGGCAGTATAGTATAGAAGATGCCCACTCTCCCTCGCCTAGCCTATGAGTGTGATCCTGATTCTTGAATTAAGGGTTTCAGAGGAAGCCGTAATGGGTAGCGGGTAACATACGCTGTATCATAATGCCGCTTCGACTTGTCGACTTATCGATCATTGCCCAGTTATGCGTTAAGGTATTGCCCTACTTTGTCTGCGACTGTTCGTGAAACCTAGGAGCTCGTCTGTTTCGCCACAAAACTTTTCTTAAGCCTCTTTCATTATCCGCCACCTGCGGATGCCTCAGGAGGGCCACATGTAGGCTACCACGCAGACAACGTCTTCCTGGTGGTTCGTCGCGTAACGACGACGTCTTATTCAAAATTTCTATTTTTATGATGTGCACGCCACACTGTTTTGTCCTTTCCGTCAATTTCCAGACCGAAATAGATGGAACTTTTGAAAAAGACGCCAAGAGAGGAAAGAAACGAGGAAGTAAGAAGACGGCAGCCCATCGAGGTGACACCGAAAGCAGTGCGGAGGAGGAGGAAGGGGCCAAAAAATCAGCGAACATCAGCCGAAACCGCAGCAATAGCGGTAGCAGCAGTTCTTCCACGGGCAGTTCCGAGAGTGGCGACGAAAGTGGTAGCGGCAGCAGCAGCAGCAGCAGCAGCAACAGTAGCAGTGACAGCGAAGAAAGTGGCAGCGAAAGTGATGGGAGCAGTGGTAGCAAAAGCAGCAAAAACAGTGGCAATTCGTCGTCGTCGTCGTCGTCCTCCTCCTCCTCGTCGTCCTCGTCCTCTTCCTCTGAAGGTGAAAGTTCCGGAGACGAGAAGGAAAAGGAGCAGGCTAATGGGTCTTCGCCGTCGTTTCGCCGATCAGACGCAGTACCAGCGTCAGAACCCATGGAGGCGGATGAACCCATCAGCGAGCAGAGATCTTCCGTCGACGCAGCCCCACCCAGCGTTTTACCGCTACCCCAATCGGCCACTACTGAATCACTGCCCTCACCACCATCACCTACCTCTCCCGGTC